AAATTACTATGTTATTACTATGTCACGAACCTACAAGATTAACATATGATATTACTGATCAAAAACATAATTATTTATGTACCTTATAAAACTTTGCCATTTGATCAGCAAATGGACAGATCAACGGATCAAACATATTTCGATATCGGTCGTTGTCATTTATAAGAATATCTTTAGCACAAGCTAACTTATATTCATCAATTTTAACGTTACCCTGTTCCTTCTGTTTCTTTGTACCTAATAATATTGGTGATTGTTTCATTTTATCAAGTATGCCTGGTTTCTTTTTATTAATTGATTCATAATTGTATGCAATTGTTCCGAGAATAGTAATATATGAATTCCTATAATTCGGGTTTGACCAAAATTTCTTTGGTGAATTGATGAGATATTCTGCTAAATCCAATGCGGATGGTTCTTTTTTTACACCACAATTTTCTAAAAATTGATTCGCATCTTCACCAAAATCAACACATGGAAATAAATCAACGTAACTGAATTAATGAATAGAAATTTGTTAGGTCTATAAGTACATTAAAACTAATTTCATACAAAAGTATATACGTACTCTTCACTTGTGTTTTTGAAAAAACAATCTTTTGGTGTGTAATGACTGAATTTACGTGGTGGAATTTTATCTTCGATAGGTATAAAGCTGATATTTTTAAGATCTTTACAGTCTAAATGATCAAAATCTCCTCTACGCGTTGCCAGGTAACTAAAAATCTCTTTTGCATCTTCATAATTCCTTGGTGGATTGGATATTAATTTATTCACTAATAACCTTCTATCAGGATGTTGTTTAACGCCCAGCTCTTTAGCCCGATAACTTAGATTTTGACGTAAAGCATTGAATCCCATCTTTACGCAATCAGGACTCCAGTAACATTCTGATGGTTTCACGTAAACATTGGGGTTAGTGCATGGTAAAAATCCCACTTGAACCGAATCTGGGTTGTATTCATCGGAATATTTTTCCTTGAGATTTTTGACAAAATAATTTAGCGCTTTCTCACGAAGATTAGAAGGTGTGGACGGTGTTGCAAGTTGAAGAATAGTTTTAAGAGAGGGATATTCTTGAAGTCCAAGTCTAGTTATAAATTTAGCTAAACATTTGAATTATGTTAATTAATGAAAAAAAAAATATATTTATAAATAGTTACTCGGATGAAATTTTTTTTGTTAATGTACAGTACCTTCATTTGAATGTTTGTTCCAATTTCCTTTCCATTGGATTATAGGTAATTCAAGTTCTCTATTCTGATAATATGGTGCATACAAGTCTCTTGCTAAATATCTTTGAACATTGGTACCGGAATTATTATCAACTTCCTCTTTTATCCAAATTTCTGTTGTTTTTAATAGCTCTATATAATCGTTTGGAAGTGTTTCCTCTGAAGCAAAATATTTCAAAAGTTTCATATGATCTAAATTATCTTTGTTGACCAATCGAGCGATAACAATTTCCAATTTCACATGCTATACCCATGATGTTATAAATTTGTTCTAATAAATTAAGATAAATTTATGACAATTCAAGTAATATCGATATACAGTCATCCTCTTCTATATTCACCAATTTGTTTATGCGAAATTGATGATTATTAAAGTGTGATAATAAAAAATTTGTCTTATATAATCACAAATAAGTAAAGTATTTATCGTGTAAGGCTGTTAATGGAATATAAACCACGTTTACATATCACACCATTTTACATTATAAAAGACAAATCGACTCTGGATTAAAAAATTAAATAATTTTGTTTTTTGCTAGTTGTCATATTATAAAAATATATACGTAAAATTCATTAAGTAGATTAAACCCGGTTTTTAGTAATTCCTGGTGTTATACGTATCGGTACCGGTACGGTTTTACTCCATTAATAGCCCCCCATATTCAGGAATGCATATATAGTTTCTAAATATAAACATCAAAATTTTATTAAGTAAATCTACTCGCACTAAGTTACCCGTTATAATAAAATACATGAGTGCCGCAAAGATAAACCTGCAATTTACAGAAACGAGCTTATCCAAATCTGACGTGAATTTCGAAAATCAGAATTGTAGGTTTTATCTTTGCGACACTCGTATACCTTGAAATTTTTATGTAATTTGAACAAATTCACTTTTTCGGGCTAAAAAATATTAGCTTTTTAGCCCAAACGTAAAATGAAGTGAATTAATAAAAATAGTTCAAACTACATAGAATTTATAAATTTCCTTTAATAATGCCGAGAAAGTTAGTACACAAAGCCGATTTACTTAGTAAAATTTCGACTTTTATATATTGAAACCACTTCGCGACTATATAAAAAAGTATTTTTAATAGAATTTTTAAAAATCTCTGAAAATGATAATTGTAAGCCAATTGTGATTACATAAAAACACGTTTTCGAAAATTAAAAAAAAATCTGTGATTATATAGGTGATTGTAGAGGAGTATGACTGGAAGTACGTACGTACTATTTTTCTTACCTTCTGTATTCCCATCATTTTAGAAAAACTTTCGTTAATTTTTATGCTAATATTAGGTAAATCCGGAAACAGCTTCACGTTTGGGAAATATGTATCAACGGGCTTTTTTAACCCAAATTGAGTTGGGATACATTCAATTTGAGAAAGCAGTTGACATATCGAAGTCCTATCAGTTTTGTTCATCGACTCAAAACCTCGTGAAATAGTTAATATAAATTTCTCGGCAAAAGGTGGATCACTTTTCAATTCGTATTTTCCAATAATGTATTGCGCCCATATAGCTAATGAAAGTTCGGTCCAATTTCTAAATAATAATGAAATGGTGATTATGAAAATTGAAATATTTAGAAAAATGTGTTTGATTATGAGATACCGTCATACTTGAACGATTTCTTTAGATCATTGTCATCGAACTTTGAACTAATAGTATATGGCAGAACATTAGGTGGAATATCCGAATCTTGTGGAACATTGCTTTTTTTCTTTAAGAAATATCGAATATTTTTTAGAGATATGGTTTCATTTTCAATATGTACAACAGCCAGTTGCATGAACTCGTCATGTTGTGATGTTTCAACATTTTGTTTTCGGCAAAATGCTATCCACCATTTCATCAAAGCTATCATTTCATCTTGGTCCAACACTCTATTTTTTAATTCCTCAAATACATCATTTATTGAAGCTTCTTTAATAAGTTTCAGAATCTTATTTGCCCTATAAAAAAATAACTTGCATCGATCTACTATGATGTTGGGAACAAACGGAACAGTTTTGATAAACGCGGTCATTTCTGGATCGGGTAATCGTACCATATTGATGGCTTTGACACCGTGAGTAGATAATATAGATAGTTGTGATGAACAACTTTTGTAAAATTGCGTTTCTATGATGTTTCCTACTTTGGCATCCGGTGTACTTTGTTCGAATGTAAAATGTTTGAGAGCATGCGCTGAACGTGTTTCAAGATCCACTCGATCATTATTGGACGTATGTTGGTATTGTTGTGAGATATGATTCATTTCATCTTCATATAGCAAGCGGCACAATATTCCGGCCAAACACAACATCTCTGTATTATACTCTGAAAGCGTTTTTTGGACCAAGTCAATTGATTCACGTTCGACCTGCAAATAAATACTTGGAATAAATTTTATATTTGTAAGAAAATCATATAACGTTTACATACTGTTGGTATGACGCGAGCTGCTAAATGCACGGAATAACCAGTTGTTTGATGCGTTCGAAATCCAATAAAGACTTTTCCTTGATCGGGGAACGGCAACAAGTCTTTGAAAATCTCGAGAGATTCGTTGGTATCAGAAGACTTATCATAATACCCAGGAAGAATAATTTGCACAGCAGTTTGACGAGGAGGCTTTTTCTTTGTTAGTCTTTCCATTTCGAGGGAAAATTCATCTTGAACCTGAACTTTCAGATTTCCACTGGCTATTTGGAAGCGAATAGATGCCTTTTCTTCTAAGCAGTTGGTAAATGACATAGCTCCAGGAGGGATAATAATCCTTGAAGTATTAAACGTAACATCATGTAAATCGACTGATTCAAGCTTAAACATCTTTTGGGGGGACTCGCTATTTATATCAGATCTGATTCCAATTGATCGAGGATTATTAACATTTTTTAAAATATGAATCACGCGACATTCATTAAAATACACTGAAATTTCGCAAAGATTAGCGGTGAATCCCTGTAGTTTAAAATAATGTTAAGGTATAATGGTAATTATAATATCAATTGTCATAAGAACGAAATTATACCAATGAAGTTGCCAAAAAACGGCTGAATTTGTTTAAATCAGGAAACTATAAAAGGATAAAGTTAAGACTTTCAATTAGATTTTATTATTATTATTGTTATTTATTTATTTATTTTATAATGATTAAATATTAGAAATGCAATAAAAATATTGACACCTTCGTGGTTTCTCTCATATCCATTAAGAATATGGTCCACTCAGTGTCGTTTTTGCCAGTGGGGCCATGCCTGACAAATAATTGATCACTTTTCCAATAAAAGGCCATGCCAAGTTCACCAGAAGATACACTATGAAAGATTAACATGATTTCCAAGATTAAAATGATTTAATTCATAAATAACTTTATATAAATCAGGATTAGCAAACTTTTTTGAAATGTATTTAAAAGTTGTATTATTATAGTTATAAATAACCTACAATGGTTGTTCACAGATCGAAAATAATGAGTAAAATCCGACGCCGAATGCACCGATCTTGTGTCGCGAAAAAAATATTGATGATTAAAATTGCATAGCAAGAGTGACCTTAAAAATAATCATGAATACCTTTTGTTCATCGGGATTTCCCTCTGCAATTTTCTTTAATCGATTCCAATCTTCTGACCTAAAGGCTAATCCATTGTTCTTGAAAAGCATTCTCGAATAAGTTTCACCAACTATATTCTCAAATACAATTTCGACTGCAGAGGCTCTCGCGTCATCTTTAAACCATACAAATTTCCATCTCGATGTTATATAAATTTGTGAAATTGCATTTTATATATAAAAACCCGTACGTACCTGAATTCTGCATTAATTCTCGAAATACCACAAATTCGGATGAATATCTAATCAAGAATTTTTTCAATTCAAGAACAAAAAATAAACTAAAGTATTAATCTTGAAATTTACCTAGACAACATCTTATCGATCAGACATCTTTGATTAACTTCAACTCGGACTTCGTAATCCGAATTTGACATTAATTGTTCTCTAAAATTGTCGAGACTCATTTTTGATATTTTCAAGTTTAGTTAGAAGGTCTAAAAATCCATTTAGAATTTTGTGTTATGTAAAAACTATTACACTACATGTTCATGTAGATACGTACGTACGTACGCACGTACGTGCGTAAAACTTTAATCTTTTAAAAATCAAAAGGAACAACTAATTATTCAAATGGTTAGCTCAGCTTGGCTCACGGATAATTTTGATCAAGCTGAGATGATTATTTAGCTCTGCAAACAAAGTCAAGCCATTTACGTCTTCGCGAAATAACGCCCAGGTGTATTATTTCTAAAGAAAGCTAAGAATTAATTTAATCAAAAAATGAATTTACTGCTCGCATTTGGCTAAATTAGTTCTTAGCTCTTTTTAAATGTGTCTTAAAATAACGGCCTGAGAGTTATTCGCGATGTTACAGTATTGGGCAACCAATCTTGAGCTGAGCTATGCCATTATTTTAATTAAAAATTAAGGCAGGCCAATGAGATTAGAGTTTGGAACCGGTTTGTTTTGCGTATGTTAAAACCGAGCTTGCCATTCGTTTCCCACATGATCCACATGATCCGAATTATGTCATTAAAATGGCGGGTCCAACGTCTAGTATGAAAATAAAATCGAAACCAAACTCTGGATGCAGTATTTTTCAAAATTTAACCAGAATCAAATTCAAACGTGCAATTAGAGTTTGGAACCTGTTTCATAAAAACTGATTTCAATCGGTTTTAAAAATAAATCCAAACTCCGCAATAAATTTTCATTGAAAAACGAATTTCCAACTTTCGAATTATATATCAATTTTTGTTTAATTTCCTTAATATTGGGTAAATCCGGAAACAGCTTCACGTTTGGGAAATATGTATCAACGGGCTTTTTTAACCCAAATTGAGTTGGGATACA